ATCAGTTTTATGTAGATTTTGAAGGAAGAGAAGGCTTGAGACCACAGAGAGCTGGGTATGCCTGAGTCCTCACTGATTTTTTTTTTTTCAGTGCCACTCAGCCCTCCTTATGGCTCTAAAGGTTTTCAAAAAGCACACTATTTAGTTAAAGTACCATTTGTGCTTCTGCAGAAAAGCTCGGCCTAGCTATTTGACTCTTAAGGGAGAGCTATGGGGCTAGAAATGGGTGACTTGTCTGGAGGGACAGCAGAGGTCAGAAGGTGCAATACATGCTCTTTTGCTTTTGTCTGTTTTCAGAATGGCTAGTTCCTTAGTAATGAGTTCTTTGATGTGAAAAATATATTGTTGTTGTTTTCATAATTGTCTGTGATATTTTCTACATTATTTCTTTACATTATATCTTAGAGATTCTCCGTTACCAGCAATTGTTAATTTGGCAAGGGGACTGTTGTGATATGAAATTGCCTAATGCTCAAAGTCACTCCCTGCCAGAATTCTTGGGTGTTCCTATCTGTTCACCTACAGATCACGATGTGGCAGTAAGCATATCCCTGCTGACTTCTGCTCCTGGTGTTAAACTGTGACATGGAAACCCACTTGCATGCCAGGACTGTTATGCTGATTCATGCGTGTATGTATATATGCATGTATTTTCTCCAAAATCTACAGAGGAAAGAATCTGCAAAGGCATCCAGGAACTGATAAGAATCTGAATATTCATAACATCCCAAAACACCTATTTCCCTCTGTCATTATTATTGTTGTGTTAAACAACTTTTCCAAGTAGTGAGAGAAAAGCTTCCAAAGTTGAGTTTTATTTTGTTTGCTTGTTTTACTGAACTGGCAGGTTTTAATTTTCGGCATATTAGATATTAGACTGATACTCTGGTTTAATATGGAGTAAGGCTGCAAGATGAAAATTGCTCTGTTAGATGAACTTCTTAGTCTTGAATTTAAAAGCTGTGCAGCTAGTGAATTTGTGTGTTTAGATTTTAGCTCTGTGGTAGGTCTCAGCCTTGACACCTATCTCTGGTGAGAAGTCTGTAAAACTTTGTTCAAAGCTTTATAGTTTCTGCTTGGGGAAAGGCAGGCATCTGTTAGCATCCTTAGGATTCAGCTTTGGTTCATTTATATTCTCAAGACCTAGTTGTTCAATAGGAGTAATAATAAATGAAGGACAGTGTCTATAATACTGGAATTTTTTAGTTTCTCTTTAATTGCTGCATAATCAATTCATCTATGCTCGAAGGAAAATTTTAATAAAGTAGCAGGGATTCATATGGAGGAAGACAGGCTTATCACCTCTTTATCAAGGTTATTTGAAAGGAGAAAGGATGTATTTTATAGAGCCTATCTCCAGAAGGTCTCACAGGGTTGCTGAATCACAGAGTTGTATATTAGTACAGGAAACAATAGGAAAGGAGGGAGAAGTGAGAGAAGAAAGATTTTGAAATTCAGAATGCTAGAA